CATGTTTCTGGACTGTGGGAGGAAGCCGGAGAACCTGGAGAGAACCCACGCTGCACGGGGAGAACATGGAGACTCCACGCAGGAAGATCCCGGGTGTCCAATCAGCTCCCCTGCATGACATCTAGGCCACGTTCACACGTAGCCGGTATTCACAGAAACGGATCTACGTTTTCAAAAATAACATCGTTCTCACCAGATTGTTTTTAAAAAATTCCTCATTTACACAAACCTGCATAAACACGTGGTTAAGAGCTGCTATGAGCTGCCAGACCTGTAGGGGGCAGTGTAACGAGAAGCATAAAGCCATGCTAGCCAATCAGAATCCGGGAAAAAACACAACAACGAAAACTTCCTGTTCCTTCAACGATAATGATGTGAGCGTGGTTTGTTTGGACTGACAGAGAGGTAGAGCTGCTCCTACATGTGCTGTCAGAGACACAACAAGGAAAATACTGAAAACACGTCAGTCCATATATGGACGTATCCAGACTGTAAACACGTCAGTCCATATATGGACGTATCCAGACTGTAAACATGGCCGCACACATGTGACCTGATGACGCTTCAGTCGCTCACTGTGACGTCAGACTCCGTCTCCTCCCGTCTACATGCAAACGTAAAGTCAGAGTTTTTTAGATCTGATGGTTTCTGGTGACTCGTAGCTTCGTTTTCGTCTCGACCAAAGGTCCACTGAGGTATCACCGTTCAGGCTGCGCTGGTTCCATCTTCCCCTCTTTTAGCTTCCAGCTCCTTCCTTTCACCTGCGTTCTTCCCTTTAGGCCTCTTTGTGCTTCTTCAGTCTTTCATGGCTTTTTGAATTAACTTTGTTTCCTCTGATTCGTCATGTTTTTGTTTTTCTGGACTCACCTGTTGGTTCTGCCTCCCAGCTGATGTTCTTATTGAATCTATTCGTCAGTTTAATTAAAGTTATCCTTTGTGTGTTTAACCTCCCGGTTCGCTGTGTGAGTCTGCAGTTCAGCCTCATTATAACCAACCATGTGTTTGTGCTGCCTTCAGTCCTGCTCTCAGAAAAACAAGGGTTCTGAAATAGTTCTCTAGAAGGTTCTTTGGTTCTTCAGCAGCTGAAGGGAAGCTCATTTCAGGCACATTTTGAGTCATTTGGGACAGTTTGTTTTGAGTCATTTTGATAAAGTTTTAGTGATGTAGAACAGATTCTTTGTCAGTCTGGACAGTTTTTGCGGTATTTCGTGCACCTTTGTTCTGTTTCTTCAACATTCAGGGCTGTTGCTGTGAATCTGAGTCGGACCGTCACTGCAGCGTCCTACAGTTCACTGTCTGAGTATCTGAACACCTTTGTCTGGTAAATATCAAGTCCTGCTGATGTCTGAGGTACTTTGGACAAATGTTGCCCCATTTTCAGCATATTTAGATCATCTGGTTCATTCGCTGGGTGTTGCTTTTGCCTTTCTTTACGCTTGTTTTTCCGTTCTGTCTTTCATTGCAGCTATTTTTCATCTGTCTGCAGCCGTTTGCGTCACCTTCAGGTTGTTTTGCGTCTTTGTTTCGTTTCGTACCTCTTTGTGGTCACGTCACGTCCCTCCGTCATCGTTTTGTGTTTCTTCCAGGAGCGCCGGGAGCAGAGATGGAGGCTGGATTTAAATCAGGTGAGTCTCTAAACCTTTAACCCTTTAGCGGGCAAGGAACCATATATGGTCACTTCCTTTAAAAACAGCAGGGGGCAGAATCACATGACTTCATCCGGCCAATCAGAGAAGGTCAGGCTACATCACAACACAGTTGCTATGGCCTCGGACCAATCAGGAGTGAGCCAGACTGACGTTTGGAAATAAATGTTCTTTTATAACTTTCTTTAAAAAGCTAAAAAAGAAAAATAGACGCAGAACACAGAACCAGACGTAGAACACAAGATCTTTGTTACTGCATTTGTACAAAGACTTCATATATCCGTTTGTAAATCATATTAAAAGCAAAACACCCCAGAAGAGCAGCTAAAGCCTCAGAGAACATGAACATCTGAAGAACGTTTGAGGCGGCCGACCTCTAACGAAGGCTTCGTTTGGAGGCAGCGTCGGCCTGCGA